GAGGGTAGGAAGCCCTAGTCGATCAATGGAGATCACCCACACCAAATTATGTCGAACAAGTAGAGTGATTAGTGGGCGGAGGGGGTTTGAATCCCCCCGAGGGTCATGGTTTGAGTGGATGCTTTTTCCCGTCCGCCTGAATTACTAGTGTGGTTGAGCATTATTAGGTCATGTTGAATTCTATTTTATCCCCCTTTTCCTCCGGCTGATCTTCCTCTGAGTAGCCGGGTTGAGAATGAGTATAGGAAGCCCTCGCTGATCCATGGTGATTACCATACCCAATGCGCCAGCAATTAGAAACAATACGGTGGACATAGATGAGGGTAAGGAAAGCCCTCGTTGATCAATGGAGATCACCCTCGACAAATAAATCTTGTTCGCGGATATCAGCGGGCAGAGTGGGTTCGAATCCCTCCGAGGGCATACCGGGGAGACAGATTTTTCCTCTTTCTTTTTTTCGCAGATATGTGCTCTTGACCCTGGCTGAAATCCATGTATACCACTCCCTCGTCGTTCATCGAAGATCACCCACGTGGAGAGTGCTGCCAACAGATAGAGGTGGTGGTAGCTATAGCGAGGTCGGAAATCCTCCGGGGGCCTTGGCTATAATGAAAAAAAAATTCCCTCCTTGCATCGCACCAATCTATCCCATTTATTTTGCACTAGAATCGGGGTAGGAAGCCGTCCTCGATCAAGGAGATCACCCACCCAAATTACTGCATTGTCCTCGACTAGAGTGGGCGGAGTGGGTTCGATTCCCCCCGAGGGCATGGATCATCGCTGTCTACCTTTTCCCCTCCTTCATCACTCAAACTTATCAGCGGGTGGAGGGGGTTCGACTCCCCCCGAAGGCATAGTCAACTACCGCTTGTCCTTTCCTCCCCCCCACATACATCAATGGACAGTACCTCGATTACGCACTTTGAAGCTCGACGGATAGGTATAAGCGCTGCTACGGGTAGTTCAATTCTGTTTCTGTTTTTTCCCCCTTTTAGTTCTACCTTTTCTCTGTTGCATTTGGCCGGTGAGAATTGGGTGGGGCTTTCGTTGATCAATGGAGGTCACCTACTCTGATTGTGTATTGGTTTTTCTTGCTAGAGTGGGCGGAGGGGGCTCAAATCCCCCCGAGGGCATAGGGAGGATATGAACCTGATTTTTTCTACCCTTTCACGGATATGTGCTTTTAATTCGAGACGTGAGCGAGGTAGGGAAGCCCTCGTTGATCATGTAGATCATCCACGTTGATTGTTACATCGATCATAACGGAATCAGTGGAAGCTGGGGGTTCGACTTCCCCCGAGGGCATGTATATCCGCGCCCATCTCTTTCTTCAGCCTGCACCCCACAAGAGTCAAAATTTACACGCAAACGAGATCACCAATTAATTTTACGACCAGTAAGTAAGTACCCGCCCCTATGTAAGTAAGTAAAAGAAAGCAAGATAGCTAAATAGCTAGATACATATGCCGCGCAGACCCAGATCCCGTCCAATAACAAAGCGATAACTTATCCACCCCAGCACCTCGTTAAACGTCCCAACAGCACGATATCACAGAGGCCCAGACAATACGAAACGAGAGGACAGCGACCGAAAGCACAAATGCAGCACTACTCGCCCTCGCCCCAAAGCGCGCCCCACTCAAGCAGCACCGCAAACCAATAGCAGTCGTTCTGCGCGTCCGTGAGCACGCGCTCCGCGAAGACGCGCCCCGCCTCTTGAATCCGGTGCGCCTGACGTGAAAAAAAAGAAATCAGCAGCTGTTACTCCTACCCCGCGCCAACCCCCGCCCGACAAAAGCCGCGCGAGGCACAAGGCACAAGGCCGCAGAAGAGGCTTATAAAACGAAAACGAAGCTTACCTCCTCATCGTTCGCCCGCGCCCACTCGATCTTGGCGGGGAGGTCCTCGAGGTCGGGCCGCACCGGGATAAAGTGCACGAACGGCACGAGCCACGGCGTGAAGAATTCCGCGAAGGCGGTGCTCTGTCGGGCGGGCGTCAGCGCGTTCCTCATTCCCCCACCTAAAAGAAAAACAAAGATGGAAAGAAATAGCAAAGCCGGAAAGCGCGTCAAAATCGTGATGGCGAGGAGGGAGGAAATCATATGTAGCAGAAGGACGGAAAGAAAGAGAAGGAAGACAAGGAAGAGAACGAACCTTAAACACCAGCCCCCCGCTCCTCAACAAACCCAAATAGCGCCCCGAGAAGGTGTTCCCATCCACGTCGAGAAGGTATCTGCAGAGGTGTCAGCGTCAGCGTCGATGAAACGCGCTCGCTCCGAACGAGTGCGGGACAACACCGCGCAGCTTGCTCCTCAAATATGCGAGCCAGCGCGGAGCCGATAGTAGAACCGAAGAACCGAAACAAAAAACGCACTTGAACCCATACGCCTCCTCCCTTGGCACGACCTCCCCCGTGATATTATACCTCGCCTTGATCGGCTCCGCGTCGCAGTCGTCTGTGGGCACGGTTGCGTCAGCGTCGATGTCTTTTCGTTGGGGAGAGGCGGGCGGGCGCAAGGGTCCGCCTCTCGCTCCGTACCCCGCACATAACCCCGGCGCAGAATATGAAAGGAGCAGAACACCCAAACGCACCCGTACAATGCCCCTCATGCCACCCCGTCATCCCCACATCAAAGTAGCCCTTTTCGCGGTTGGCGGGGCGCGCGGCGAGGTCGAGCAGCCGGAAGCGCGGGAAGGAGCGGTAGTTCGTCCCGCGGATGTGTCCGCCGTTGGACTTGCCGCGCCAGTCTGCGGGGATGATGGGTGAGTAAAGGGAAGGGGGAATTGGGGGAAGGGTGGAAAAGAAAAAGAAAAAGAAAACATGAAAACATGAGGGGAGAAGGCAGGCCGAACGGTAATGGCAGAATAAGTAAATAAGGGTGCAACGGAACGGTCAAGAGGAACGGATAAGAGAATGATAATGATATAGCGAAAAACGAGATGGGAATCGAATGCAAGTAGGTAAGAGAGATCCAAATCGGATCGATGCAAGTAAAAGTAAAATCGAAAACGCATCCGAAAGCAGAAATGAAGAGCCAACACTCACACAAAGCCCCCTTCTTATCCCCCCACGGCACGTTATCCGGGTGCTTGAACTGGCCCGCCCACCACGAGTCCCTATAATAAAACTACACCGCCGTCAGCTCCTCCAATTCGCACTGAATAAATAAACGCGAGAAAAACGCACCTCCCCCGGCACGACAACGTCCACGAAGCACGTCGCCCCCCTTACCCCGCCCGCCTCTGCCGCGGTCGACCCGCCGCCCACCCCCGCGCCGGAGAGGGCGTCGACGCCGGCGCCGTCGGCGGGCTTGGTCATGCTGAGCACGGGGACGAGGTCGGTGGTGAATTCGGCGGAGGAGGCGGAGAGGAGGACTAGGGAGGGAGGGGGTTAGCGTGTCGTCGATAAGATGAATAAAAATACATAAAAACGAAAACGAAAATAAATCAAGGGAGGGAAGGCAGGGGAAGGCAGGAAGAACGCGAGGAAGGTGAGAAGGGAACAAAGAGAACGGAGAACAACTCACAAGGAACGTCCGCCATAACCCCCACCCCCGCCGCCGGCCCACAGGCCGCGCGCGGCGCGAAGAAGGCCGCGGTCGAGGGCGGGGCGAGCGCGAAGGGGGTGGGGTCTGTGAGGGTGAGGTGTAGTCCGTCTCCTTTTCTGCTTCCACTTCCGCCGGTGCCTCCCTGCGAGTTGGCGTTGTCGGAGGTGGAATGCGAAGGCGGCGGCGGCGGCGGCGCGGTCCCCCCCGCCCCCGGCGGCGGCGCGTTGACGTACGCCTCAGTGTCGGAGTCAGAGGTAGAAGCGGGACTCGACGCGCGGAATAAAGGCAGCGCGTCGAACACCACCCTCGGCTCGTCGCGGCCGTTGATGAGGACCGTGAGGGGGGGAAGGGCGGCGGCGAACTTGTTGATCGTCCGCTCCCAATCCCCGTCAAAGTACGTCCCCTGGTAGTCGGGACGGTGGACGACGCCATCGCGGATCGAGAGCGCGGTCATCCCGCGCGAGTCGGCTTTGAGCTGACATCAATCAATACACAACAAGAATGACAAGAGGACGAGGGCACGCACCCGCTCCGCCACCTCCCGCACGCGCTTCCGAAACCACCCCCGTCCCGCGAGGCGCTCCGCCTGCCAGAACGGCGCAAAGTCGGCGTGCACGCCGTCGTACGCGTCGACCAGGCAGTTGTGTTCCCGCGCGAAGGCGTAGAAGGCGTCGAAGCCGCGCGGCGGGGGGCGCGACGTCTTGAGGGCGTAGCGCGCGCGCGCGGCGGCGAGGGAGGGGGGCTGGGCGGCGTGCAGCGCGGTGAGGGCCGCGTCGGCGGGTGAGTCGGAGGAGGGAGGAGGGGGCGGCGGCGGCGGCGGCGGCGGCGGGCCGTGGTAGTACCCCGCAAAGCTCTCGGGCACGGGCAGGCCCACGGTCGGCCCGAGGAAGACGGTGAGCGCGACGAGCGTGAGGGCGCCCGCGGCGATGAGGAGGAGGGCGCGTGGGCGGCGGAGGAGGGTGCTGCGGCGGTGGTAGGATGGGGAGGAGGAGGGACCGATGGTTAGGGGGAGGAGCGTACGCGCGATGGAGCGATCCATGGGGCGGGCGGGCTGGCGGAGTGGGTTTCGGTAGAACAAGGTGCTGGCGGCGGCGTGGGATCCCCATCAGGATCATTGCACCCGCGGCGACCAATGCCCGCTTTTGGCTATATGATTTGATTCCGTGGCGGGATTTGCGGGTGTCGCTGGCAACCACTCGACTCCATGCTTGAATTCGCGTGTGGTTGAATTATACCGAGTTCAGGAGATAAAAGGCTTGGAACCGGCACCGCCACCGGCAACTCAATTAAAACTCGGGTTGCCACGTTTCGAACACGATCCCGTCTCGATGCAACCTGCGTTAATTCATTCGAGGGCCCGAGGCTAATTTGAGGCTCGATTCGTCTCCAGGCGCCAGCGGAACCAAATTATCATGCCGGCAAAGGGAAAAAAAATGGTTTATCGACCGATTACGCCCTCGGGGGGATTCGAACCCCCTCTACCCACCGTACACGTCTGAGCACCATGTAGTGAGCGTGGGTGATCTCCATTGATCGACGAGGGCCTTCTCTGCCTACAATGCGACTAAAATCAATGGGGTGAATTTGAGTGTGTGAGTGTTCGTCATTGATCAACGAGGACTTCCTCTGCCCTGACTAGGCGAAGATGAGTGACGAGTAAAATTGAACACCCTCGCGGCCCTTACACCTACCGTCAAGCGTCAGGGTGCGCACTCGAGGTACTGTACATTATGATTAATGTACATGGAGCAAAAAAGATTGGACAAGGTGACTATGCCTTCGGGGGGAGTCGAACCCCCACCGCCCGCTGACCTGTGCTCTGAATGAATAAGTTGAGCGGGTGATTTCCGATAATCGACAAGGGCTTTCAGTCTCTGAAGTGGTGGGAGCTTAGTGAGTGCTTTCACCCTACACCGGGTTGCGCACCTGAGTACTGGACGCATAATCGGCACTCCCGTTTGTTTTTACTAGGAATTACGTGGGGTTGGACTCGGAGGTTGGTGACGCAGGCGCAGCCTGGTGGCACAAAAAAATGCTTTATTCCCAGGTGTAATGCCCTTGGGAGGAATCGAACCCCCAGCTCCCGCGGAATTCTCGTGTTGTATCCCTGAAACTGTAATCGAGGGCGGGCGATTTCCAATAATCGACAAGGGCTTGCAGTCTCTGAGTTGGTGGGAGCTTAGTGAGCGAGTTCCAAGGGACAGTCAATGGGAATTGATGCAAATACTTTGTGCTGCTGGGCGAACGGAGGTGGCCCAACTTGAGCATCATAGTCCTGCGGGAGGGCAAAATAATTGAGGTTGTTGGGCGGAGATTTAAATGATACCGTCGCGGTGCAAAACTGCTCAACAGACATACCGCGCCCTTGGAGAGATTCGAACCCTCTGCTCCCGCTGAATTGTCTCGAAGCATGTCATGACAAGTCGAGTGGGTGATTTCCGATAATCGACGAGGGCTCCCCATCCCTCGATTTCGTTGAATTTTGGGAAGATTAGCGAGCAAGTTGCAGGGACTGGTTGGGATTGCGCGCGCGCTGTGATACTAATATGGTGTCGGGTCCCTGGGCGAGCTTTACATAGATGGTAACAGTAGGCGGAGTCGCGGGGGAAAATATAATCAGATTGAGCGGGCGGGAGTTTGCGCCGACCACGGCCATCAATTCTTCGTCCTCATCAAATCATTCCGGTTGTAAAACCAGTTGTCAGTTCTGTCCATGCACGAGCCTCCAGAAAAAGTATGAATATACAGATGTCTTGGAATTTCCACTTTAAGCCTGGCATAAGTTTGGCATGTTTGAAACCATCCGGATCCAAGGCCAGAACAACAGCCATCAAAATATTTCAAACTGCGCCCCCCCAATTGCCAATCCCGAGAAGTGCTAGTCTGCCTACGAAGTCTACGAGATATTATGATAAGGATGGATTCGGGAGTCGAACCCGGTTCTGCTGTGTCAACCTGGCTTGGCCGAGATGCAATGCTGGCAGCTGTGCACCATACACCACACCCGCTTCTTGGCTCTCCTTTGAATCATGCAAGGCCACAGCAAATCACAGCCTCCTGCAGGCCACCTCTTCCTCCATGCCCGCATCATAAATATGTTCGCCACATCTCAGAATTGATGCTGAAAAGTCGTCTATGTATGCTTCCCCCCAGGACTCTGTCGGATCGAAGGGAGACGTCGCTGAGAGCGTAAGATTGGTCGAAGGATTTGGTTCTGAGGAGTTTCGGAGGCAAGATCTGATGAACATTGAAGGTTCGATGCGCCGCACCGCTCGTCACAGCATGCTGCTCATCCTGCCGTCACCCACCACGTTCGCCGTCGCCAGCACAACACGCTCAGCCTCCCCGTGCATCAGCGAACCCGTAGCGCACACGCGGGCCTCGCCGACCACAGCGAAACCGCAGCGCACACTCCGGCGCGCGCATCCACGCGATCGCGCCGTGACGCCCACGCCTCGCTCACGCGCGTCTCGACGCACAGCGAACCCGCGTATCTCCACGCCCACCCCACCACTCGTCGCATAGCACGAAGGGCGCCTCCCCGCGCCATCCGCCTCCGCCGCGGCGCACAAACGACCCGGACATCGGCTTGGACGCGGGCACGACTCAGGAAGAGCGCCCGCATCACACACGCGGGACTGACCGCGGTGCAGCGTGCGCGTCGCAGACACTGGAGTTTGCGCGGTGCACGCCGCTGTCTCCCTCCGCACCCCCCTCCCACTCGCATCCCATTCCCTCCCAAACAAAAAACAAAAAAGAATGAACGCACCTAAACGCCGGATGATGCGCCTCGAGCAGCGGGCGGAGACACTTGTAGTGGAAGGCGTGGCTGCACGGCGCGATGAAGAGCGCCTGGCCGATCGAGACGGGGAAGAGGCCTGGGGCAAAGCGAAGGAGGGAGCGATAGCAGCGCGGGGAGGGGCGAGTGAGTCTCGCTGTGGGTTCGTGGTGCACCAGCTGTTTCAATATGTCAAATGTGTATTTCCGGACCTGCTCGTTCGGTGATACAAGTAGTTCGGCCACGTATTGTAAGATATTGGCTTCCACGGAGGCCTGTGCGCCGTCCGGAGATCCAGCGATCCAACACAATGTCTTTGTCGCGCTCTCGACGACGCTGAGTTTCTTCCCACTAATAAAAATCAAAAGCTGGTTCAAGTAGATGTAATTGAGAGTCGCCGTAAAAGGGATCCCAGGTGTGCCGCGGCGGCTGTTGCTAAGGGATACCCGATTAACTTGGCAGATCAACTTGCCCTGCCAGCGGAGTTTAAATTTGGCTGGATTAACTTGCCTTAACTTGGCGTGGATTAACTTGTGCTTGCGTCGATTTACAGCGACCTTTCCCACTGCAATTAAACATCCCAGAACTCAATTCCAAACCTGCCAAATGCCGCGGGATTGCTTAGGGACCTCTAGAGACCTTGCTCGGCATCGTTTGATGCCATCACTTTGCCGCCGTAATTGGTCTTGGCATCGCCGTCGCCGTCGAAATCAGGGTAAGTCAAAGCTTGCAGATTTTCCTGGACTTTAGCATTGCTGTAAATAGTATTCATTGTATTTCTGTATAGACCACCACGGTTGAATCTTTGCCACGACAAGTTCGCTGATGCGCGCAACAACAACCAAGTTGAACCTGCATTGGGCAGCTATATTTGAACCCAGAATCCAAGTTGAATCGGTGAGCCTGACGGCTCTCATGCTCCTGTAGCACAGTCAAGTCATAACTACGATCAGTTTGGGTAATGGGCGGTAACTTGGCATGGTATAAAATTCGATGCAATATTAATGCATCTTGGAGGTATTTGAGGGTCGGTAGATGTCTAAGTATTATCCACAAATCAAAATATCACCACCCACACAAGTTAACTTTCCCTAAGTCTGGCTTGTGCAAGTTGACTTGGACTTGATACCAAGGTAACTTGACCCGCTAGAAATGCAACACCACAAGTTTATTTGCCATAAGTTACTGGTGCAAGCCAAATGGGATTACAATTTTACATGGTACAGTACTACTCTAAGCCGACCCCGGGAGATGCTGAATTCGGCGATGTGGACCCGACTGCTGGTTGGCAGCCCTACCTTTGGACTTCTTACCGCGCTTCGCCGGTGGTTCCTTCGGTGCAGTAGCAGCGTTTTCCCTTTTGCAGTCTAATCAGAGACATACCTGGTCGGATCTAAGCACAATCCCCGAGACTTCTTCGCACAATACACGGTTATTCTGGTATGGGCAGATATACTTCATTTTGTAACGCGGCGAGAAGTATTGTTGGATCCGCAGTGTCGTCGACCTGACTCGCAGTTGAAAACTGTTCCACAAACGGTAGCATGGTCACCCACCTACATCATTTGCGTTGGACATGTCCTCGTGCATCCGGCCATCCCTGCCAAAAACCGTCCACTATCCCACTTCGTTTGAATCAGCCTCTTGACGTTTTTCTGATCTGCCTCCAGTGCTCCAATCAACTTCTTCTCTGTCGCCTTTGAGCTTTATTTTTTCGGCGGTTATCGGAATTAATGGCACCGCTGAGCAGTCCTCGCAGCCAGCCTGTAAGCCGGTGCTCCGACATTCTGTACGCGGAGAAACGGGAGGCAGTGCTCCACGCGGAGCGGGTGGTCCAGGAGAGTGTTGCCCTGGATTATTGTCTGCCTGCTCTGAGGTAATGCCGAAGCCGAAGAGCTGCTTCAGTCTATGTAGCATTCTCTGCGCGACGCAAGCGGCGAGTGGCAAGGCTGAAAGAATTTTGCAAATGTCGATCGTCCGACGGTCGATCATCATCCCCTTCAAGACAGCCGCCGGCAACCTCAAATAGATAAACCAAGGGAGGATTGCACCGCGGGATCTACGTTTGAGGTTAGGTTTCTCAAGCTCTTAATAGGGCAAGCTAATTTTTTAACTTGGCCTGAGTTGTGTGTTAAAGGGGGAAAAGTTAACTTGCACTCAACTTGCGGTGAACTGCGGGTGACTTGCAAGTTAGCTTACTACTGAATCCAAGTCCAATGATCACTTTCCATGCTTTTAGAGTCCCAGTGCGCTTGGAGGTGAGAGTATTCCTTTCAGAAACAAATTGTGCGTACAATAAAAGAAGTTGAACATTTGAATTGATTGACGGCCGAACTTAACTGATGTTGCTACTCCGTTTCGCAATCTGCTGTGTTGCAATCTTCCAGGTAGGGTATAAGAGAGCTAGGCATCGGTTTTAACCAGCTCAAGTTGAAGATTGGGCTAAGCGCTGACCTTGAACGTCCCCATCAATGTCGCCGAATGCCGAAATCTGGCCGCAAGTGCCTAGTATCTCAGCGGAAAATTCGGAAACCTGGGGAGTAGCCTCTCAGTAGGTATATTCTGGTCTAATCTCAGATATAGTAACGAATAGAGCGCGGGATTGCTCGCAAGTTAAAGCCGACAAGTTAACTTGAGTCTTGCGCACGTCACATTTGTGACTTGCAAGTCACTATTTTGACTTGTCCCACCATCCGGCACATCAGTGTGAGGAATCGCATCGTTCTCAGATTGTAGTCTCAAAAAGAACAGGATAGGCATGGAATA